CTTGTTCTTGTGGCTGCTTGCAGGCAGCTGTTTTCTCCTTGCCATTAATTCATTTTCATTTTGGGAGCAAAGATACTAAAGGAAAAAAAACCGAGTGACCTTGTGCAGGATGTTACAGTGCAGGGTAATAATGGTTTCTATTGTTAGCAAGATTTTAGTGCAGCAATGCATGTAGGTAGTTCATGAAATATTTACAAAACTTGGCGTATCGGAGGGGAAGAAGAAGGACAGGGGGTGTGGCAAGGCAGCAGAAAAGATGGTATTTCATTGGAATGGCAGAGTGGCTCCCTATGAGCGACAAGAGGTCTGCCCCGGGTGTATCTGCTGGGTGGGAAAGGGCCCAGGCAGGGGCGTGGGGAGGGAGCGCTCCTGCGGCTGTGCTGCCGCCTTTCTGCCCATCATGGCCTGGGTGCGATCTCGCTGCGATTCCCATCTGACGCTCCCACCACATGTGTCTGGGGAGAAATCTTGCCTTCGTTTCCAGAAGCCAGTAGTGAAACTTAAATAAATGAAGGTGCTTGTTTTCTGGAGATTAGTCCTCCAGTCTTGTGTTTTGATTTGTGTAATTCTGGAAGCAGCTTCTTTTCCCACTCCAGGTGCTCCTTTTACATGGTAAAGCTGTCTTGCTTGTACCTTTCTCTCTCTTTCCCTAAAAGATTCTCCCATATTTCTCTCCTGCCTATTTTCAGTGGACCTGATGATGATTTCAGGTTTTTTACCCTGCTTTTTCTTCTTCTATAGAGAAGAATACATTAGTATAGACTTGGGGATGGTGGCATAAGGTTCCATATTAGACTATTCTAATAATGTCTGTTCTGAAAGAGCCATCGCATTTTGACTCAGAGGTTGCTGCATTTGATAAAGAATGCATGGGTCTTTCCAATTCTGTGTTGCTCTAGAAAGAGATTTTACTTATTTCCCGAGACCCAGGGTATAGCAGATAGTGTTTCAAGTAGCTTTTGGCTATAAAAAGCTTGACCAATCTCACTGAAGTACTTTTTCTCCTTATCATTGCTTTTTTCACCATTTTACTATTTCCTGGACTTTATGAAAAGAATTATTTTTCGTTACTCATTTTCAAAGCCAGTTTTGAATCTTTTTTTAATTGAGAGAGGTCACGTGAATGTGTCAAAATTGCTTTTAACAGAAAAACCACGTTTCATTTTGAACCAAGTATTAAAATGAATTACAAATTTGCGTTTTACTCTAGCATAACTCATTATAGTTGCAGCTGTTTACATTACTGCAGAAGGAAGAGGACTTCAGACCTCAGTCCTCATGATATCCCACCTCTATACAAATTAGAGCTTCTTTATGGTAGTTATGCCAATTAAAGCTTCTTTACAGTAGTGTGATTATGAGAACCATACACAAGGTTAAAAGCTCTGAATGTTTGCTTTTAAAACACTCTCCTTTTGTATCAGAATTCTCCTGCTGCATCCTAGACTAACTATAGGGGTTACCTTGCAGCAACTCTTATTTCAAAAGGCAGTGTCTGGAAATGGATTTGAAGTGTTGGACATTTCCTCAAGTTTATTAAACATTCAAAGGGCAAGATTGTGCTCTCAGATGTGGATATTCAAGAAAAAAAGGAGGATATTCAGATAAAAAATTTGAGGATATTCAGAAAAAAATGGAGCTGGCCAACTGATATATGTAAGCTTTTTAGAACTCCCTTCATTTAAGATGTTACTCTCATTGGGATATTTGCCTTCTCTGGTCAACAAGCAAGGAAGAATGGCCACATCCCAGCCCCTACACTGTCAATCCCGAGATGAGGAAGAAGGCGAGGAGAATTAGCTATTTTAGTTAAAACATGGATGCCTCCCTGTCATTTGCTATATTGCAGGGAATAAAGGTTTTGTTTGCACTTACAATATTTTGAAGTATCATACATTTTTTGTTCCCACATTCAAATGCAGTACATCTCCTCCACTTCCTTCCTCTGCTCAGTCGTGATTCTGTAAGGTAAAAAAAAAGGATTAGATTTTGTCAGGACAGCTGTATTGTCTCTGAACTCCTGCTGCTCATAGCTGGTAATTGTGTTCATCTGTGCCAAGCCTTATTTCTCTAGGTATCGATTCTATTATTTTGTTAGGGATACGAATAACATAAAAAATACTGTATGCTCTAAGCAGGATTCATAAATATCTTTTTGAACACAGCTCCTAGTATTTCTCCTGAATCTCCTTCAACTCCACTGCTTTTCCCACATATTCAGACAGCACACAATTTCTTGGTAGGTTTTCTAGCATCTTGGATTTAGATACTAATGTACTGGTAACCTTGCTACAATTCTTCAGTCAGGAAGAGATATATGTGCTGGTTTTTAATGCAAGGACTTTGAGGTACACAGGAGATTCAGATTTATTTCACCTAATGCATGAAACCTAGGACTTCCTTGTGTTACGTAACCCTTCCCAGAGATTATATTGTTTTCAACAGATATTTAATGAATATGGTCTACAAGACTGCAGCAAATTGTTTGATGACCTCATAGGCAAAAGGAAGTAAATTGCTATTTTCAGCTGCCCTTTTTAGAAAGACAAGTGCTCTGTGCCCCCTCATACACCGTGCAAGGGGCAAGAGGAGATGTTGTGGTCTTCCTGGGTTTTTTGTAATTCACTAGTCTTCATGAGTCTTAATTGTGCTCCTGATGACTAGCCCCTTCTTCCACCTCAACTAGAGGCTGTGTTTAAATTGTCATAATGTGACAGATATGCCATACAACAACAACAAAAATTGTTATATGTTGAACAACAGGTACATTTAAATCTTCTGAAACGTTACTGTGCAGTTTTGCCTCAGTTACAATGTGGTCTATCAGCTAAGATCAAGAGCACATTTCCCTTTTTTTTTATCTCATGACCACTTTAATATCTGCCAGAATAGCCAAACTTGAATTTGCTGGCCTCTGTCTAGAGCTAGTGTTAGCAACAAAACATAGAGCATATGGAAATAGCTGTAAGGACATTAAATATACCACCTGACAGGCTTTCGTGCAAGGTCAGCACATCCAGAAAAATCACTGGCTCTTTAAGTCCTTGAGGTACGCTCTCTGACTGTAATTTAAAGCTGACCCTTCTGTTTTCTCAGTCCCTTTTCAAATGGGAACCCCACATCACCTCTATTCCAATGCCACACTTGTCTCTGGGCTTTTTCTTATTACTATTTTGGGAAAATCATTGAAGAGGCAGAGCTAAGAAAAGCCAGGGGGAATGGATGGATGTTTTGTTTACCATAATACTAGGACAGCAGCATCATGCTATTCTGTAGCACTTGAGTGGTTCTTGTTATACATGGATCCTACATTTTAGAGTGAATAATACAAGGCATGGAGCAGGGGAATTATGTGCTCACAGTTGTACAGTAGGTCAGTGGCAGAGGCTGATTTCTTGTCTCCTGGCCCAGGCTGCCTTTGTAGATTGGCTTAGCATTAACTAGTGGGTGGTGGAATTTTATTGTCAAAGACTTGAGTTATAGTACATAACAGATGATTTTCTCCATGAAACTGTGAAAAATTGAAAATTTCCAAAATTGTTTATTTTTAAATGCTATGATTATTCTTTAATTTATTTAGCCATATGCATCAGCTTTTCTCAGTAATTGCTCAAATAAGCACAAATAATTAAGCAAGAAGACAATAAAACCATAAAACCCCACAAGTAATACACATAAGCTTTCAGTGATGGTTTCAACCTACCTACTGGAACAGTCCCTTGGAAGTGTTTCAGAGCTTATTCTCCATCCTGGATGAGTATTCAGCAGCTCACAACAGTCAGAGGGCTCCCAGCTGTGGAAGCAGTGGGATGAAATCCACTGGGATATGGATGGGGAGTAATCTTGCAGTGTACATCTGGGGGCACCAACATACAGCTATAAACTCCTCACAGAAGTCTAAAAATATTTTTCTCCAGACATGATCTCAGGAAAGGTGTGTGGCACTTATGGTTAAGCTTAAGGAGAATAAACCCAACTGTGTTTAAGCCTAATAAAACAAATGAATAATGTGATACATAAAAATAAGTTCAAATACATTGTTCAAATTGTGAATTCTCTTGATATTCACACCCTCGATTTAAATTTTGATTCGTGTCTTCATTGTAATTAATGTTATGGCTGTTGTGGTAATCGGTAAGTGGTGTCTCTGAAAAGGGCATAGAAGAAATGTTTGCTTAGGGGGAAAAAATATCCTTTGCAGGCTGTGCCTGGGAGATGCTGGTCAGCCTCACAGCAGCTTCTGGGGGTCCTGGTTTTCCTCAGTTGTGATGAGGAAAGACTCTCTATACCATTGCTCCAGCCCACATGCACCTTAACCACGGATGTAGCAAACTACACAGCTGATCTTTAAATACACTTAATGATTCACTTCATACTCATGGTCTTATAAACCATTCGGTTCTTCAATTTAGTATCATGAACAAGCACAAAAAAAGGACAGAAATAGCTTCCTGGTACTAACAACCCATTCTTTACATAGCTCAAATTGATATATTCAGGTCAGAAATCAAAGACAGTTTCATTTCTGCAGCTGGCAGTATAACTATTAAAGTTTAAAACCTTCACAGACATGAGTACCTTAAAAATCATACTTCTGTCTGAATAGTTTATCTACAGCATTTACAAGTGACAGCTAAGATCGTGGTAACCAGAAGAAATAAGAGTGGAATAGATTTCTCATTATTTCAGTTGTGTTTATTTCATGCATGTGGCAACATTTTGCTTATTGTCACTCAGCTTTGCCTTCAGAAGCACGTAAGCAGTGATTTTGGCCCTGTTTATGTGGGTATTTCACACAACAGAAAGAGGGAGAAAAGCATTGGAGAAAAAACTGATGTTATTTTATCTATAGAAATTGGTCATAAGAAGTCTGAGTAGATGGACTAAAATTGCATGAAACCCATTTCTAAATGAGAGTAATCTTTCATGCCTTTCCTTTTTGATTTTGCCATATGTTTGTGCTGTTGTATCCTAGCATGATATTTTTTACCACTGTGATTTTCTTCTATATTATTATGATTTTAATTTGTATTTTCTTTTAAAATATTTAATCATGTAATAGCTTTCACAAAACCAGTTTATTGTAAAGATAACATGGATATCTAGGTATTTAGTACTAAAAGTATAAACTCAATATGGAAAGTGATAGATTAGAGAAAAATAGATCAATTAGTTTTAGGGTGGGTCATTGTAATGCAATGTAAAAAATCTGCCAGGTGCAGAATTTTTCACAACTGAGTGCAAATGTGGGTTAACCTCTCATATCTCTGAGATATTGACCAGTAACCACTAACATTGATTCTTCTTCCAAGCCAAAATGCAGCTTTTTTAATACTTTGATGTTCAGGCTCCATTCAGCATCAGAGGCACAATTTTTGCTGAATTTCTAGTTGAATCATAAAGCAAGAAGAAAATCTGTTCTTGTGCATGTCCAGTGTACACTTTACAGACTGTAGTGTCTCACTGTGCCCAGAGACTGCCCTATACATACAACCATCACAAGGATTGTCTTTACACTGTACTTACTAGCACAGATCCTCCAAAGTCAAAGGTTTCAAACTTATTCAGTAGAAATATCTGGCTCTATGGATAGGATTCAAATATTTTTCTTATCTGCTGATACAAACGCTGTTTCAGGTTGGTTTTCATAGTTATGCATGCTTATAAAAGCAGTGTTTGACTGAAATCACCAAAGGACCCAAAAGGGTGTTGATCGTCCTCTGAGATGTGTTTTGGGATCTCATGGACAGCCACAAAACCAGACTTTCGTCAAAGAATTCAGTGTTCCCTATCATTATGGCCAGCTCCGTCAGTAATTTTGCTACTCATGCAGTCATCAGAATTTTGATGTGAAGAAGGTAGTGGGGATAATGAGTACTGTCACTTTCTGCTATGTAAACAATAGTGAAAGAATGTATTACTTGCAATGCCTGATTTTAGGTTAAAAATACATTAGAACGCTTTCTTCCTCATTCTGATATGAATTCTGATTGAATGCTATCAACAATGTGCTTTGTCTTTTGTGTATTAATTAATTTTATTCTCTGTGCCACAGTATTCAAAAACAGATAGGCATCCTGGGCCTATTCTGGACAAAGTTATGGAGTCTAGTTTTTCAGGCCCTCAGTCTTTCCCAGAGGCCTTGTCTCCTGACAGAGGAACCCAGCCCATCAAGCAACACAGGTAAGCAAACGGCTCTCTGATGGGAAATTCAGCAAGCTGCCGAGGGAATTCATGAACTGTTGATACATCTGCAGGATTATTGTGCCCTGTGACTAGGAGAGTTGTGGGGTAGTATGGTCCCAACAGAGCCTCAGCCGACTCATTAAGCAGATGTCCAAGCATTTTCTTAGCTGCAGACACAAAAGGCAGTAAGAACACTCACCTATTTTAGCTATGTTTTGTCCAAGTCCTAGAGGAAGTATTTAAAGACACCGTTCCAGCTGTAGACACAGACTGGTGCATGAAACAACTGTAGTTTGAGAAACTACAACAAAACAAGACTTTCCTTATCGATGTTCATGAATTTAACGACTCATTTGCTGCAGAAAGACATGGCTGCAAGCCTTTCTTACTGTTTTCTTTAAACAAGTAATACTTGAAATGAATAATGACTTATTTATGAACACATCGTGGCCTTTGAAAACTACTCTTTAAAAAGTTTGGATGGTTGTTTCCAAGAGGAATAAAAGAGGAAAGTCACCCATCACTGGATGACATTTGGATTAGAATTCTGCTTATAGCCTTTTTGGATGAAAAAGAGTGCAGATGCTTCATTACGGGACTAGAAACCGAACTTATGCCAAGTATAAGCAATAGTGTGGAATGGCAGTGGTAACGTCTGGTCCAGACCACACAGAGAGAAAAAAGGCTGAGAAAAATAAATTCAGAAATTTTTTAGCTAGATAATCTGGAGGGGAGGATTTATTTATCAAAAGGATATTTTTTTCTTTAAATTACTAAAAAAAAAAAAAGTTTGGGATTGCATGAGGTTATGATCTAGCTTCTGTAGGTTTTGGTGCATTTTCATTGCAGTCCCCCAGTCAGCTGCATGTTCCTTCTATTTTGAATTAATTATTTGCTTAACGTACCAAAGTGCAGCATATGAGCCAGGAAGGGATATTTGGGTCCAATCTACTTTGCCTTTTTTAAGCTTTTAATTTGGCATGAAAAAATAATGCCAACTGTCACGTCAGATCCATTTCTTAGGGCTTATTCATTATCACACAGAGATTTTCAAAATATACTTAATCATTTTACTGAACATACATGAACTATTGAACTATTGTCTAGGATACTTTCCATGGAAATTCTGGGGTGAATTTTATCTCCATTTAGTTAAAAGGTTAAGTTCAAGAAAAAAACAGGGACATTCCCTTACTTTTAGTATTATGATTGCACTATCCAAGTTTGAAATGTTTTAGGTACTGTAGCATGACATTACCTAAGTGTAAAAATGTGGAAATAAATTGAAGTCTGAAAATATTTCTTCTGTTTATGAATGTCACCTAAAAAGCTGAATAACTCTCTAAATGTCCTGTTTTACATAGGGAAACTGCAGAATAAGTCACACTGAATTTACAGGGAACTAATTTAGAATCCCAGATTGCTAATTTTAACACATTCACACACAAAATCGCTCTTTCCCAAGGAAAAAAACCCACAAACAAACAAACAAAAAAACACCACCACCAACAACAAAAAAGACCAGCCAAACTAAGAGTCATCTTATTTGCAGATGTCAAGCACCATACTATCTTAAGAGTCTGCTTCAGAACTGGTTTAAGATGTAGAATGACTAGCTTAATTTATAAAGATTTCTTCTTGTAATTTTATAACTTAAGATTTATTATACAAGGCCATTGCTTTATAAAATATGCAACAGATTTGAACATTTAAGACTTATAAGTCTGTAATTTATGCAGCATGTGACAGCTTCTTAATTTACTTGGGTTTTTTTAGTTTATAAATAATGTTCAATGTGGCCAAATGAGGAAATTTCTCTTTTTTACTGTGATACATTTTGTCCTAAACATCCCTTCATTACATTCCAAACCTGGCGCAAGCCTGGAAAAATTACAGCAGCTCTGCAGGTTGTCTGTTTTATGCTGTTGTTAGACAGTATTATTGTTTTATTTCTGCTTGCTATGGAAATATTTTGTTCCATGTCCAGACCTGCTTTCTCTGCTTGTTTTTTCAAGGACACTAATGATGTGTCCTTGAAAAACACATCTCTTAATATCAGGAGCTTTCTTTTTCTAGTCCCTAAATCCAATGCAAATTTGGCCCGACAGAGATCTTCTAGTTATTTCACTCAGATTACTAGACAATAGCAGTTTTCTTTTTCTACCAACCTCAGCTGTATGCAAAGAATTTAACTGCAGAGATTTAATTGAAAATTTGAATCTTACTTCTAAAATATTTTTCCTTATTATTAACTGTTACTATGTTAGAGAGGTTTTACATTGTTTGCTTTTATATGTAAAACAACTCTTATTAGTGTCAGAACTGGAAAATAACAAATGTGTTTAATTAGTAAACTTCCTGTAAAGTATACAGTGTGGTCAGAAATTCATCTTGGATTATCTGTTAATTTTAGTTCGAAGAAAACCTGTAGTGTCTTAATTTCTAACAAATAGAAAGAAATTAGAGTTTTGTTAAGTATGGGGTTGAATTGTGATCCCTTTGAATACCAGTTTTCTTGGTAATTAGTCATCCTGACTTTCATTCATTGACTGAATCATTATTGATTTTAGAAGGATTCATGTCAGAGAATACCATGATGAAAGCCAAACATAGAGGCTTTCAGCCTCGAGCAGTTGCATTGTCTTACAAAAAAAACCCAAAATAGAATAAGCTTACTCTAAAATATAAAATTATTTGTGTTTGCATGAGGAAAACCATGGTAAAAAAACTTTTTTTTTTTTAAATTTAGTAAGCATTTTACTCTTTATGCCTCCAATAGAATTGATTCAGTTTAAAATGAAAGAAAAAATAAAGTAGTCTTGTAGATAAGGCTACTGAAATTCAAAGAACAAATAATGATAAACTAAAGTAACTAAAAACGTAAAGGCAGAGAAGAAGCCTGAAAGGGAGAATTTTCTCAAGGAAATTTCTGATATTTTCTCAAGGGAAGTTTTGTGGAGAAAATTGCTAAAAAGAATGCCTAAAAGGAATGGGGTTTTTTAGGGAAAGAAACAAACTACATCACAGAGGGCAAGAAGTCATGCTTGAAGTGAATGTTTCCAGGAACCATTGAGAGTTAAGAATTACTGGTAAGACTGAAAGCAATCAATTGTTCTAGCTGTACTATACGGGAAGAAGCAAAGCTGATGTTGGGAAAGAGATAATATATGAAGCAGTTAGGGCAATCCTGAATTAATTAATTTCATTTTTCAGTCAGGATGATTATTTGAGGATGAAAGTAGAATGGGAATAGAATCAAATATTTGAAAATAAACATTACTATGGTCAAAGTGGAGTTAAAATGCAGAAATCAAAGTCCTCAAGTCCAGATGGTCTGGTTAATCTTGGTCAAAGAAGTCTGGAAGGAGAACTGGCTCATGAAATTTGTTACCATGAAAATGGTAGCAGAATCTATCAAAATTTGAGCTGTGCCATGTGATGATGAAATAATGAATGTCAAATGTTTAGGAAGAGGAAAAATTTCTTGAAGGAACTGAAGATTTGTTAGGTTGGATTAGACTAGTCAGGGCTTTAGGACAAATGTGGGGGAAGCAGATTCTTTGGGTAGATATTAAAAAGGCTAAAAATTGTTATGAAGTTTACCAGCAGCAGTTTCTGCAACACTGCAGTGGTGTCTTTCTCAGTATTTGGTGTAGGTGAGCTAGATCTCTACACAGCCTCAGTCAACAAGTCACACGTGTCTAACACCTTTAATAGAAGAAAGCTGGGAGAGGCAGAAAAACTGCAATGCAGATACACAGAGGGGGTTAAAAGTGAGATAGTAATTAGTTACATTGAGCAGGTAAGTGCTGAGCTGAAGACATTTATCAGTGGAGCACTAGTGAAGCTCTCAAAGAATTAGTCAACAGTGGGGATAAATTTTGTTTAATGCTTTTGTGCAAAAAATGTTGGAACATGCTAAAAATAGTTGAAAGACAGTACAGATAAGGATCTGGATATAAAGAATGACGTAAATAACGAGTGGTGAGGTGGATTGAAGCTCAGCAGTACTAAATACAAGATCAGGTATTTGGAAACTAATAACAATTTAAGAAACAAATGAGGAAGAAAAGTTTCAGTATATACTACTTGGTCAAAGGTTAACGGAGCTGCAAAGTGATGCAGCTGTGCAAAAGATAAATGAGATGAGGGGAAGTATTAATCAAGACATTTCCATCAGAAAGTCAGAAACATTAAAGCCACTTCATGAGGCACTGTTTTCACTTCATTTGAATATAGCATGAGAATACACCATTATTATCTCACCTGGTTAAAATGGCCTCCTGATTACTTTGGACTCAAATTGCATTCATGAGCTAACATGAGGAATGAATAATCTGTGTTATACAGAAAGTGTCAGAGTCTGTCTCATTTCCGTCTTCAGTTCAGAAGACTGAAAAGAGTATATGAGTGATGCTTTATAAATACATCAGACAAAGCATAACAAGAAGTAAAAGACCTTTAAAATGGAGGGGTATTGTGTCACATATGACAAATAGATATATACTCATCGTAAATAATTTTAAACAGAAAAGAATCCTGAAAGTTTTCAATATAGAACAACCTTCTGGAGTAGTAGCCTGGATATCATAGTAGTCTTAGGATGAAGGTTGATCATTGCACTGCAAGGAAGTACATGATGAAGTTACGGTAGATCACCGAATTTGAGGTACCTTCAAATGCTCTGTTCCCTTTTCCTATTGTATGTATCTACCTGGTGGAACAGGGATGGTGATCCATGTAGTGTTGAAGGATTTATGTAGAGTTGCAAAGTCCTCAGCCCTGACACATGCTATTCCTGAATACACGAATATATAATGAAAGCAACAATGCTCCCATTTCAGAAATCAAGAGTAGATTTGTAAGTGTAGGCTGGCTGCTGGAAAGCTTCTCTTACACATGCAAAGGGAGAAGAGATTTTTGCAAACAGCAGGCTACAGTCCCACTCCGTCACCTAGGCTGGGAACCTGTCCAGCTGTAATGGTTTATAAACACAAGCTAGGAGACACAGGTCATCGTACCATTGTAGATGAGATGTTTTCCTGGACAGTAATCATGTACTGAGACTGTGCAAAGGCATGGGCAAGAGTAGTGTGTAAATACTTGGGATACAGGACGCTATAGAGAAAGAAGGATAAAACTATGAAGTTCAATTCTCTTATGTGATGGCTTTTTTGAGATGATATTCTCCTTACAATCTTAGTCTTTTAATCACATACAGCTTTGTTGAAGCCCCAAACGTCCTCCTTTGGGGAGTCATCTATAAGACAGGGTCCAACAGAGATGCACTCACTGTGTGCCATTCTTGTAAACAATCTGGCAAAAGGACCTCAAGATACAGCCTTGTTATTAGTGCATGGTATTTACTGAGAGATGCCCATGTTCTCAGGTATAACATAGCCTTTTTATTAAAACTGAAAATTGGTTGAAAGTCTGAATAGTTGATCCGTACAAATGTTAGCAGTAGATTGTCTAATGTAGCCTAAAAATGTGGCTCCTAGGGAACATCAGAAGACACTGGCTGGCAGCTAGCTGTCATTGGGGTATGTATTTCCAGGTTGTGTCTTGCAAGGACAAACCTCATGTCTTCAACACTAAAGTTTGCATCTCGTGATCACTAGGTAATACTGTTATGTCGTATAATGTGCCTCTCTGTGTAGTTTTACAGGTACAGAGACAAAGTATTTACAGTCAATTTTAGAACTTTTCTTCCTCCCTCAACTTTGCATCTTTCTTTACATGAATTACAAACAGGAAAAAGGCGAAAGAATAAATAAAATAGATATACACAAAACCATGGCTATAAGCATTATTTCTGTGGTTCCATTTGTACTTATTAAGAGAATTCTGATTTTTTTCATGATGTGATGTATAATCAATTTTGTTTAGTAATTAAATAAGATGGAGTACAGGAGAATTCCCAGAATTACTGTAAATTCTCTGCAAGTCTTCTCCTCTTCATGAACACAGTTAACTGCACTTGGGAGATGTGTATGTGCCTTGAGAAGAGAACACTCCGCCTGCTGAGACAGACTTTGTTTTTATCCAGTTGCTCAACCTAAAGAAAATTTCTGCACAAAACAATTTTCAACAATGAATCCCGGGTTCTTAATTAACTGTCTTTAGAGATGGTTGAATTACTTCTTTCAAATCATTAATTTATCAGAACTATATTTCTCCCTAGTTTATGCATTACTTGTGAACCAGTTCAAGCATATTCTGATATTTGTTATTCTGGAATAACTGATTAATGGATTTTAAAGACATATCTGCTACAGCTTTCCATATTGGTCTGTTTTATTGAACAGCTCAGTTACGTGGGCTTGGTTTCTTTTACCCAGTTAGACTGGAGTGCAGGGAAGAAGGAACCCTAATTGTGGATAAAGGAGGGCAAATTCCCTGAAGAAATCCAAAAAGCATTGTCTGCCTCAGACAGAGGAACACTTCACATCAGCATTAGAGCAGAGGCCTGAGAGGGGCTGTGTTAATGTTTTTGGAGGAAGAGTATGCTGCTGTTCCTAGTAGTTTTGTGAAGGAAAAGCTGTATTATGCTGGAGTTAATTTTTCATAGAGCTTTAATAAATATTGTTACTATCTTTACTGTCTTTGATCCTTCAAGAAATGTGCGTTATCCTGCAGCTTCCAACTGCACTGTTTAAATATTTCCTGGCCCTTTCCTGTAAATTTGTTTTGACCAAAAATGATTTTTGTTCATTTTCCCCTCCATTTTTTCTGTCAGAAATGTGAAAAACCTAAGAACCCCGCATTACCAATGAATCATTTGCTTAAGCTATGTCCATGCTGGAGCTGCTGTGCTTGCAGGACATGTTGGCATATGCCATATCCCTTCAGGCTAGCTAACCCAGGCACTTTTAGCAGCCTGTAGTGTCTAGTGTTAGATGGAGCAACAAGAGCTTCAGTGCAAGTTGAAAGAAGTCTAGATAGGTCATTCCTATCCATCTTCACTGCTCTTAACACCGATTACCTCAGGTATATCTGTATGTGTTGCAATTACGTCTATTACAAATGCAGAGCTTTTGTGAATTTGCATGTGGATCCACCAAGGAAGGTGGGCAAGGGCATCAAACCAATCACAATTAAACAATGCCTTCCTAGTATCAAATATTTGTGACCAGTCTAAAGTCTGTTAAGTTAATCAGTTTGTTGACTTTTGCAGTACATTGATGAATATACTGCAATCAATAAAAAAGCCTGAAATTCATTAGCCATCACAAATTATTCATTCAACTGAATCTTTTAAGATCCCCTGCTGTAATAATCTCAGACTCTCCTGAGCAGAAACTGTCGATTGTTTTCTGATGCAGTAGTGTAATTTTACAGAATATGAACTGTAACTCACAGCTTGAATTCAGACTTCACAATTGAAAGGCCAGAACTTTTTAACAAAGTTTTTTCACAGCCTCCTTAATAGCTATGGAAAAATCTGTTTAAGGAAGCATTGAAAATCCTTAAGGGAGTGCTATTGGTATGGGTTATTGATCTTTTCAATTATAAAGCACCAGGAAAGTAAAAGTGTGAAAGGGAACAGAGTGGAGACTGTGATGGAACACTGCAAGCCTGAGCAATAGGATAGAGACTGTTGAATTTATTACTTATGTTTTGACTTCAGGGAGGAAAGGTTGGTTTTAATGGAAATGTACACTCCAAGAGGATTTGTCCAAGATACTTGGTCGAAGCAAGAATTGCTTTGGGAGTAGATGTGGCCCTAAATATAAATAAGGTTCCCACTAGGTATAAAGGGCAGATTGCTTTTAAGTCACGTTATAATAGGAAAAGAGAAGCAAACACATGAAAAGTCTTTTGCATAGCTGCATTGTATCAGAAATTGAAGTTATTCATGTAAGCAAAAATAATAAGTCTTCAAATGCATCTACAAAACCTATATTAAAATACCATTATGGGTGTGACAGAATATTAGGTAATACATACACATTTGACCCAGGAGATGTCAAAAGAAATAGGAGTAGCTGGAAAATGAATAGTCAGTCACGCCATGCAGTACTGTGACCTGTTAACAGTCGAAATAGGTCATGTCTTGCCTCAATTCTGTGTTCCCTTATTTTTGCATTAGCAACCACTGAATTTATGGTTAGTATACCAAAGCTATGGATTCTAGATACCTTTCAATTCCTGCACAAAATGGAAAAAATCCGTTCTCCATCCAAAACGCTACAAAAATGTTTACAAAAGCAATTTTTGAAAATATTACTTGTTTTTATCATACTCAAGTTTCTGTTATATCGCATAAAGAAACAACACAGTATTTATCAATGTATATAAACAAGAAATCAATCTGCATATAAGACAAGAATAAAACAATATAGAAAAGAAATCTCGTTCATTGTGGAGAAAACTTGTGTCATGGATGGTTTCTTCAAGCTGCAGTTCATAAGCTTAACAGATATCCTTCACTTATATTTTTCTCCCAATTTAATGTTGCTGTATCAGGAAGCAGCACCTCGTAGGCTGATAGGTGATATAATGGGCTCTGATGTTGAGCTCAGCTGTGGGTATGATGGAGCTGTGCTGCTTGTGTATACTGTCTGAGGAGTCAGCTCTATATAGCAGGATTATGGTATGCAGCATCATCAAGTAGAAGAAAACATTTAATATACCAGGCAATTATTTTCACTCCTAGAACAGAGGGGATGTATTAAATATGGCATAAACAGCAGCTAACTGTGGATTATAGTATTATATTTCCATAGAGAATTTCTACTTAAGTCAGGGACTGCCATAACAAAGTTTATAAAAAGAGTCATCCATGAGTTATTAATCCTGAATCTTTATTTTGCAGAAGTTTATGCTTTTGCTGTGATAATTTTTACTGTATTCTTGGTGTTATTCCTAGAAGTCTCTCTTCATGCTGCAGCCCAGGACAAAAAAGTGGGATGCTACATAGAAATGCCTTTCGGAGGACTCCTCCCTTACCTCGGGGTAGGTTCAATGGAATTACAGGACCAGCATATCAACAGCTAGAAGAGTCAAGGATCACAGACCAGGACACAATACCTTGTCACGGGTAAGTAATACAACGGAGCCCATTTGTGAGTGACTGCTGTTACATGGTTAATATGCCTCGCCATTGCAGTCCTTCCAACCTTGTTGTAGTTTACTGTGGATCCGGGGTTTATAGTACTGAAAGCAGACGAATGTTTACAGAGTACTGGCTCTTTGAAGGTAATATGGTTTTCTTTGTTTGGCTGCTTTTTTTAAGCCTTTCAAAGGCTGTGGAAGGAGTGATTAGAACAAACTGTAAGTGACTGACAACGCTACTCTTCATAACTGATATTTTTCCTAGTGGCGCCATGATGTTATAGTAACGTTTCTTTTTTCCATCAGCACTGGGCAGATAAGAGAAAATAATTCAGAAGTCTAACTTTCATGGTTTTTTAAATAAATCTATGTACATTGCAAAGTGTGTTTGCTGTAGAGCGAAGACCGATCCCTTCACACAGGTTTGTCTTTGAAAATGCACAAAGAATCCAATATTTTTCCTTTTTTAATTCATCGTATTAGAATATTGAATGTGAGCTCCAGCTGTACATAAGGTCTGAATTTCAGAAGTGCTCCTGAGCACCTAGAGCTGCACTGTGAGAAGGCAGCCGTACCTTTTGGTATGGGAACTGACTTTATGAAGCACAGAACTGAGGTCACCTACATGCTTCATTTTCCTCCAGTGAGAAAGGACCTGTTATCACTGTCCACTTTGACCTCCTGGGAAGTGACAGCCACCAGTACTGACCACCAAGAATAAGCGTCGTTGCACATGTGTGTCGCTGTACACGTGGGCACACACACAGTCACACATTCCCCCCTCACCACACTTTCCAACCTGCCGCAGGATTGCCCAGTCTGGGGTATGCTGTGAGAGGGGAATTTAGCTCACGGTTTTGTAGCTGAATCTACCTAACAGAGGCAGCCACAGAATTAGGAGAGACAGACCAAGAACAGGACTTACCTTGGAAGAGAGAAAGCAAAGTGACAGAAGATGTGGGTGTCTGCTGACTTCTTTTAACAAGTACAAATTTGTCTCATACTTCTTTCTTTCTTACTGTTTGCTGCTTCTAAGGAAAAACTTGTTTATTACTTCTTGCAGTAAATATGTTCCTGTTCATTTTTAAGATAATGTGTGTATAATTCCCTATGAAAACTGTGACTCGGAATGCAACCCTTTCTGAAGGGGACAGGCTAACAGCCTTCCCTCTCATCAACAGCATCTTGTAACTCAGACTCTGGAGTGTGTTGCAACCTCTTCCTAGGTTGAGAAGTGAGGGAGAAGACAGCAAAGCTGTCCTGTGGGTAGGTGCATTTAGTCTTCTCCAGGAAGTCAGTGCGTGACATTACAAGTATCATCATGTACTAGCCTGTATTTTGAATTTGATGTTCTGCAAAAGGTTGATATTTGAACTGGACTGTGACCCCTTCTGGTCTCAGTCCACTGAAGCACTTCATCCATATTTTGTGTGCTGGGGATGCCTATAGAATTTGACCTTCCCAATATCTACCCTAGCGATGGGACCTTCTCTGAAGGAGTCCTCTGAGTGCATCAACAGGTGATGTTGTGACGAGTCACAGCAGTGTGTGTATCACAGATACAATGCCAAAGGTCTTCAACTAGTACCCGTGGAAATGAATTTTTAAAATGTCAAATTCAGGTATGAAAGTAAAATGAATTTTTTGGTGTTTTACTGGTGATGGTTTTAATGAAAATGAAGACTTTTAAATGTGCCAAAATGTTTTGCAAGTCATTTTGTTTTGCAGCAATGAAGTAATTTCTTCAAGCAAAATATAAATACTCATCTTATCTCTGAACAAAAATAAAAAATAATTCACTAATTTTTCTATCTTAGGAAGAGGTTTCCCCAAAATAAGCTGGCTTTTTAGCATCTAAGTATCTGCTAGTTTCGTTGTGTTGGTATGCTTATTAGATTTCCAGCCCAAATGAAAAGTTCCCTTGTTCTGTGCTGAAGTTACACTCCTTTCTTTCTTCTCCCTTTTAACCTCCATCTTTCCCTGCAGGGAATCAAATCAAAGTGAGTTACCTCTCCAATTCTGTGGGCCTTCTGAAGTTCATCCATCAGCAGCTCTGGCTGAAGTTTAGTCAGATTTTGTATGTTTCTGTTTGTAGAAAAGAGGCTGATTTACCTGCTTAGCTTTTGTCAAGTCCTGCAAAAGTGCTCCTCTTCCCATCGCACATTGAGAAGAAGGTTTTTGCTGCCTTCAAGAAGCATCTGCTCTCATTTTTGCAACAGGATTTAATATTTGCAGAGTTTGAGTCAAATACAGCTAATATCAGTTATTTAATCACTCTGCTACTTGAAGGCATAGGAAAACCTGATTGGAAGGTTGGGCTTAAAGAAAACAAATCATGTCCATGCCAGTCACATCTCAGAGACTGATCGAGTCCCTCATGGGACTGCACGAGTTTACAGGCAGTTAAGTGAACAGTGGTTTCATGCAACGGCTGTTGGCAGTACATGGTCTGATGTGTTAGAAGTAGTGCCTTATAGCCTGTGAATGTGGACATATACAGGTACAAATGTGTTTATGTATACAAGACCAGTGTGTCATATCTACAGGTAGAAAATGGAGGGGTATATATGTAGGTGTATGTCCTTACAAGGCTGAACCAAAGCCTGGCAATGCCACTGGAATGACTCCCACTTACCTTAGCGGACCTTGTCATCAGACTCGTAGACTGAACACCTATCTCAATAGGGCTTATAGCAAAGCTATAATGCCAGTTTGTATTTTAAGATCCAATTCCTTCTGTCTGTCTCTAATAGCTGTTTTAAGGAGGCACTAAAATTATTATGCTTCTTTCAGTTTTATTCTTTAATTTACTGTTAAATACTGTATGAGTATAACCTAAGTACTGTTGCATATATATAAATGTTTGAGTTTCTCTTTTTGCTTGGTTTTAGGTAGAGGGTGGGGGAAGAGAGAGCTGCACTTTGAAATACATGCACATGAATTAATTTATTCAGACAAATTATTTTTTCAGATAAAAAACCCTAGTTATCTTTTTTAGGAGGAACTACAGTTCTGGGAAAGTAAATTATAGGAAAATGTAATTAAGATTCTGCAATTATAGGTCTAATTCTCAGTCTATTGAAAACAGCAGCAGCCTGGTGTCATAAGTCGAAGCATGGATCAGTTTGTAATTAACCAAAAGCTGAGTCTCACATGGTTTAGATGTAATATTCCTACTAGTTTAATACCAGTCTTATTGCACACAGTGTATGTGCTTTAATTCAACCTCAGTCCTACTTTGAAAGCCCTGTGTGCACAAGGCAGAACCATGTAATTCTGGCATAAAATCGGTGTGTTTGTCTGTACTTCAAAAAATATTATGGAAATCTGCAGCATTGCGTTACATGTTAGTGTTGCTGCCAATTAGTTTTCAAAATACCAAGAAAAACTGAATCTCTGTTATGGAATTGGCAAATGTTACTGTTTTCTCACCAAACCCATTTTAAATCAGTCTTTTCTTGGTTTTGCTTATATATCATCCATATAATACATCCATTGCATGGAAATTCATTAAAAACATTCACTCCCTTTGTTTTCAGGGTGCAGCCCAGAATATATTTAGGGCCTGAATTACCAAAAAAGGGAATAATGCAACTGATGCGATCTCTCCAGCTATAGTCGTTTGAACAATTATATAATAAGCAAAGGAAACAAGAATGGGCACAACCCAAAGGTCTGCACTGTTTTGTTTTCATTTCTTTTTTTTTTTTTTAGTTGTCCTTCCTCCCTCGGGAATAATATCCCTGATCAGTATTTAATTCATACTGATTCTTGAAAACTGTTCTGCAGAGGCCCACTATGAATGGCTACAAGTGTGTCTAAGCCTAGTGCAAATGTAATTAACCAAAAGCTGAGTCTCAGGTGGCTCAGACTAAAACATAAATGCGGCTGTATATCTTGTACAAGGAGTTCCTGCACATAGCCAAAAAAGCCGCTTACTGTATTGTTCTCCTGGGTCCCAGTTCCTAAAGCAGTATCTCTTTCCATCAGATAGCGACAAAGATCACAACACCTCCCCGTTATCGCAGAGCTCCCAGCTATGTTTTCTGGTCTTTTGGGGATGCCTGGGGAGTTGTACAGGGCTGCAGAGAACTGCATGCGTGCACGTGTACGGGTTAATGTGTCACGCAGTTGTACAAACACAGTGCCGCCATGGACGAGTTAATTACAAGTCAGTGGCGCTCTGCTGGAAATGAGCCTAAAGATATCTCCTCCTCTCTCTCCTGGCTGACAGCTCTCCAGGAGGATGGGGTCTAAGGAAGCTTTTCCAGTTAATTAGCGTTCTGCGCTAATGTTGCACTATGGCTGTTTCATGCAATTCACTGTCTTTTCCTTAGTTCGCTTTTTGCTAATGCCAAAAAGCAGCAAGGCACATGTGAGTAGAAGGATATCACTGGTGAAGTCCAGCCAGCATAAGCAGTTTTCAGAAAAATACCCTTCAGGTCAGAGCTCAAAGCACCTGCTTCCACACCAGATATAAATGTTGCTTTCCTCATCCATGGAGAAAATTAATTAGACTTCACCATTAGCTTGCCTTATTAAATAGTGATAGGATCACAAAGGCGCTTATAAATAAAATATATTCCAGTACTGAGGTGATGTCTGTCCTTGGCTATCACAACTAGTAGATATAGTAACTCTAAGAGCAACAAATTTCTAGTAATAATACTTCTCAGATGCGAAACATCTTTTTATTTTACCATTGTTTCCTTTATTTTATATTTAGTATACTTTCTGTTTATATGTTTTAAGTATTTCCTGTGAATGAAAACACACTCTCTGCAGAATAAGGATTTTGGCTTTGAAGAAAAAAAAAAGGAAATGGTGACAAAAATTCACCAAAGTGTCCTCACAATAAATAAAATCGTGGTACGATATGTATTAATGGAGGATAAAAGATTTTTTTTTAAAACACAGGATTACAATATCAGGAAAACACAGACATTTGCTCAAGTCCAATATATTAGCTCTATTTGCAGCTGAGTTCTAAGAAAACAAGCCAACATTAGGAGTATGGGCTATTGAAAAACACGTCTGTTTTTCAGAGGTATGCTGCACTTAGATGCTCTGCTTGTTTGAAGGGGAGCATAGGCAATCATTTCTGTGTAAAGACTACACAACCATGTTTTGCCTAAGTTTTTTTTTCCTGCACCTTTTTTAAGTGTTTTCCTAAAATAGCTCTTTGACATCGAGAGTTCTGATATTGCAGAAAGCATCAAGCCATTTCCCCAGTTAGGAATGGAATTTCAAATTTAATTTCAAAGAAATTTAATAATACAGTATAACTCCTGAAATCTCTTAAAAAGGAGTTGTCATTATCCTAATATACCAGTGGGCAAAATGAGACTGTGAGCAAAGCAGTGGTTTGCCACCAGCAGATCCGAGAATCAAAAGCAGGTCTGCAGAGTCTGTTGTTTTCCCCAGGGCCACACTATTTCCAAGTGCTCCTAGTGTGAAGGAAAAATGCGATGTATCTTTTCAGCACGGTTCACTGAATCTCATACAGCATCCCTGCTGCTGGTTGCATCTGAGCACTTGATGTACAACAAAAAAACTTCTTTTTACTCTTTCCAGGTATTCATCCAGTGGTTTAAAAACTCCTCAGAATACTTCAATAAATATGCAACTGCCTTCAAGAGAGACAACCCCTTATTTTAATAACGTGGATCAGAAGGACTTGGTCGGCTATTCATCTTCAAGGGCCAACTCTGTTCCTATCATCCCGTCTGTGGGCTTGGACGAAGCCTGCATGCAGATGCAAAATGTTTCTGAAGTAACAGGCATCAAGTGGTGCAAAAACTCCTATTCAGCCGAACTTGTCAATGTGAGTTCCCCAGTCAGTAATTGTCTTATAGCAGAACAACATGAAGTGAAAATATTGCTAGAAACTGTGCAGGAGCAGATTCGGATTCTGACGGACGCAAGGCGGTCGGAGGACTATGAACTGGCGAGCGTAGAAGCAGAGAGCAGCGCGAGTGAAAACACGGCCTTTCTGCCCATGAGCCCCGTGGCCAAGTCAGAGCGAGAGGCACAATTTGTCTTAAAAAACGAAACGCAAAGAGACTCAGTATTGACCAAGTGACTTTGTGTGGGGATTGTGGGAGGGGAAACGAGATCTGTGCATTCGATGCTTTGCTAAACAGGAAGGGAGGAAATTAAATACAAATTATTTATATGCATTAATTTAAGAGCATCTACTTAGAAGAAACCAAATAGTCAATCGCCCTCATATCATAGTGTTTTTTAACAAAATATTTTTTTAAGGGAAAAGTTCCAGGCAGGATGAAGCGTACATCAGGTGCTTTCTAGGCAGGATTATACGTACAGTTTCAGTTACAGAGCGGTCCTGTTCAGCTGTCCGAAGGCTTAGGCTATGCATCTTTTTTTCAGTGAAGGCCAAGACCATTCTCAGATTAATTTCTGGTTTCGGGGCAGCGCTGCAGTGAGCTGCTGGCCAGGGATTCAAACCCTGGGGAGCAAATCCTGTGACACCAGCACTGACCCGGTCCCCTCTCCCCATCTCCTTTTGGTTCCAGGTTCATACCATGGAAACAGGTATACAGATATCTACTTCTGAGGTCTGGTACCTACTGTGGAATGACAATAAATCCCTAAACTGAGCCAGATGCCTAACTCTAGACGTTACATTAATGTGTCAGCCCAAGAAAGTCAGTGGAGACATTGAGGAGCTTTGGTTTGGCCAAGTGTGGAGTGGGACTGGGGTCTGTAGAGATGCAGTGTCAGGAGCCCACAGCTGCTCCATCTTCTGAGCTTTGCCTATCAGAGCTGCCTTGGTGCAGAGAGAGGAAAAAAAGAGAAAGTGCAGAAGTGTGTATTACAACAGGTTTGGTTTTTGGTTTGGTTCTTTTTCAGTGGGAACATAAACTCTGTTGTTCGTTAACAACATCTCCACATTTCTAAACTGTTATATTTTGAAAGTATTTGTAAACTCTCAAGAAGCACTTTTGAGTGTGTGTGTGTATATTTTTTTTAACTTATTTTTTATGATGGGTTGCTCAGAGAAGAGTCAGGGAGACCTAATATGATCAAAATCCAGCCGGTAAGTGTCCACACTGCCCTAATTTGTTCCCGCTTTCAGTTCTCCAGTCGTTTTAATTAATCATGGCTTAGGCTTGTGAACTTTAAAGCTTCAACCCTGCAGATGGTTCAGTATGGGCAGACCCATAAGCATGCACAGATCTGATTCTAATGGGGCTATATAAGAGCATATGGTTTCCACCAAATCACTCCCTGCAGGGGATCAAGGCCTTAGAGAAGAAATGCCATTTCCTGGTTGCTGTATCCCAGTCATGTTATAAGCATTTTTTGCATTTGCTTTCTTTTGAGTCCCTCTTCCCCCCATTAATTGTAACCCAATATGAATTGGGTTCAGTGACACATTACTGTTTTTATTAGTATTAAAATATCTGCTTATTCATAGGCAAAAGAAAATAAACTATAATAAATAATTGCTAAAAAGCTTTCCCTGGGTAATGTCAGAAGTTTGGTTAAAAAGAAAAAAATACAGTATATACAGAATGTATTTAAATATTCCTTTGCAGCAAATTAATTGTTAAATTTTTTAATGTGCCCCAGCCTTTCCAGTTCACAAGTCTCAAGACTTCCCAAAATAGCACAATCAACCACACAGTGCTGTTGTATGTGGAGTCAGAATAAAGCAATATTTTAACCTCTGTCAAGTAAATTTCGAAAAGAAATGCTGAAGGTGTATGTCAATTTTATTTTTTTTTTTAAGACTGTAAGTAATACTATTCACAGTCTTCATTCTGAAAATCTTATTTTGGGTTTCTTTTGCAGTTTTGGTTTTGGGTTTTGGGGTTTTTTGAAGTTAAAGTTAATGAAATTGTCTTGTTTACAGAACTTTCTATGGCTGTAATCTTTGCTGTGTGTTTTCAATGAAAATATATTTGAGGCCAAACTAGGCTTTATGCCTGAGGATGAAGCATGCTTCGTTCAGATTCCCTTCTTCAAAGCCAGAGAGCTTTTGTGTAGCAGTAAGTTGGGATCACAGTGAGGAGTGGCCTCACCCTGAGGTGTTTCTGCAATAGCTGTGGCTGAGCAAAATCTCACTGTGCATGAGCTGAGCTGACTGTGGTGGTTGTGCCCCCAAGCACATGCCAAATAACCCCTCTGAAAAGTGTTAGGTGGGGCTCAGATTTACATCCCTGTAGTCGTATGAATTTTCTGTCAACGCCATTTTCATCCCACCAGCTCAGGACATGAGCAGAGTGAGCTTGCCTCTGCCTGTAAGCCCTGTGAAAATACCTGTAATATAAAACTGGCTACTATATAAAGCTCTGATTCAATAGTTTGTGAAGTGCAATCAAAATTAATTTGTCACCATTAATTTCATTGTCATGAAATTAATGTCACATGGTGTCTCTGCTCTAAAGTGCAGAATCCTGCCCAAATAGATGTTTCAAAATTAAATAATTTCAATACGTATGTAAGAAATTCTTGCCCCCAAATCCTTCCAAACTCTACAAATTCACCTTTCCAACATGTTGGAAACACACAGCAAGATTTCTGTTGAAGAAAGAACCATATGATAAGCAATGCCTTTATGAAGAGAATGTGTTCACTCAGCACCCCTGAAAGACCCAGAAAGAGGGGAAGAGCAATGTATTTTAGAGAATTAAATGTTTGACTGAATAACTGATGAAGATCTGAAATGGTGAGGATATCTTCAGTTCATGTTAGAGATGCGCTCTTGTACTCAGCAAAGGATGTGTGACTGTTATATGTTAACTGTTCTATTCAGTTTTCAGCATGTTTGAATAGAGAGACGTTAATATTAACCATATGACAGACTAGTGTATTATTTGTCTAGAGAATCGCTTTGGATCCTATTGAAACTGTCATTGTTTGCAGAGGAAAAGAAAAAGGTTTGAAAACATCGAAGTAGGTAGCCTTAATGTCGTTTGTGTGTTTCTCTAATGCAATTGTTCTCCTCCGTGGACCCTCCTATTTTACAGCAAACGGGACGTTTTCTCTGAAGTCTGGCTATTAGTTATGTAGAGGACCCAAAAGAACATTGTACTGATACAGCCGAAATGGTAGGCCAAATTTTCCTTTCCTTCTGACCCCTATGGTCCCATTGAACTCAGTGGATTGGAAGGGGTGTGAGTCAGTGCACAATGCAGTTCATTCCTAAAATTACATTTGTTGCCAGCCTTGGAAACAGAGTGTAGTTCCCCAGTCATTTACCTGTAACATAATTAAAAATTATATCTGACCTATGAAATTCCAAGTATAGTCTGGTGTGAACGTAGCATTACACTCGAGTAAACTGGGAGAACAGCTAATTAAATAAATTGAACTTTCTCTGAACTGAACAGAGAAAGCCTGTGTCTCTTCAGCATAATACTGTGGAGCAGGATTATGAGAGTTGTATATCCAATCTTCCTTTAGTTTTTTCTTCTCTATAGAATTTCTTCAAAACAATCCAAAATAACCTTAAAAAAAAAAATAGAATGATCCCAGCATTTGAAATTGGAAATGTAGGTGAGTATGGGCACATTTCATATCATTAACCACTGAAAAACTCTTCAGTACACCCTTGACCTGAAGCTGGAATGTTCTAATTCTTGCAGGATGATGTTTAGATCAACAAACCCATCCATGGAAAAAGAGCTCTTCAGAATGATTTGGTATCTAGCCATGCTCTCACTGGTGTCACCAATGCAATAATGACAGTTTATATTAATAGAGGATCGCATCCCAAATTTCCTCTACTTGATGGCCAGCATAGTGTCACAAAGCTTAGTAGCCTACCACATGATGTAAGGACTTCTGCACTGATTTATGGAGCTACCTTCATTTTGCTTGTGAAAATCACACTCATACCAGTGTGTGAACACACTCACTAGAATACTGTGTAAGGTTTGTTGGCTGAGTGGTTTGTCAGGTCTATCTTTTACAATGGCTGAGTGTCACTGACCAGGCTCTACCAATGAACTTACCACCATGTGGCTTATTCCAATGTTATTCATCAAAATCCTACAGTTTCAGGTTTAAATTTTGGAAAAAAAAAAAAAAAAAAAGAGATGGTAGCATGTGCTTATGACCAGGCGTGTGCTAGATATGCTCCTGAATCAAAATGTTCAATCAGATAATTCATGTCTACTTCTCATGTAAGTAGGGAGAAAATCTGGATTTCTTTTCCCAGTTCATCCCCAGCTTCTGTTAGTCTAATTTTGGACATTACTTGAACATTTCTTACTCTTACAAGAAATTATGAAAAATAATACCAAAGAAGAAATCCTTCAGAGTCCTAGCTGCACTAAATAAAATTAAAACTTGAAGGAGCCGACCTGGAATAAAAACTGGTTCCAAATTCGGCATTAATATCAATTGGCTCTCAATTAAATGAAATTTCCCTGTAAACTATTTCTCGCTTGGGAAAACAATGAGTTTATAAAGTGATTTATTATGTTGGCATGAATTTAAAATTCTCATCTTCAATCAGATTGGGAAACAGCAAATATTTAGTATACATTTTTCATCTTTTGTGATTTATTCTTTTAATTTTATCACAGTAGCCCAGCAGGTCAGTTATCCCATTATCTGTATTATCTGCCACATAGTCTTAAAGGCCATCTCTGTCCATTTTTATTCCAGATTGCTGGACCGTTAGATTTCCTCAAAGAGAACAAGATTTTATCTAAATTATGTTTAAAAAAGATTCGTAGAATAATATAGTTCTTGCTGAAAATATGAGGTGATGCAAACTTTTTTTCTACCGCACCACTGCTGTAAATTCACAGATTATGCTCCCTTTCTTTTTTTGTCAACTCAAAAGAAAACAACCGTGACACTCAGTTTTCAGGTTTTAGACTTGACACTTCCAAATCATTATATCAAATAGGATTTTTGTATTTTAAATAGCAAAGTCCAAGCATGACATATGAATTAAATAGCTACAACAGCAGTAAAGATATTAATAAATTAGGGTCTTGGTTTTCGGTTGTTTGGTTGGTTGTCTTTTCTTTTTAATTTTCATCACATAGCAAAGAGCATATTGGGCCATTGGAATCAGTAAAGAAATATGGTCACAGAATA